AAAAAATTATAAGAATACATAGGCACAATTTTTTTTTATAAGCGTTTATAATTCAAATTGTTACGAAATCTGTCAAAAATGCGAAAATTCGCGAGTAATTTTGAAGTTGAAAAATCATAAAATTGTTCGTGTTTATAACTAAGGATTAAAAATACAACACTAAGTTTTCCATAAGTTTTCCTTCAAGTAGCTATTGAGAAAACTCGAAGCATCGTTATAGGAAAAATGTTTTGAGCATTTGAGTTTTAAATTTTTATGAAATCACGTATAATGATAACGATAACGATAACRATTTATCCTCAAACTAGGTATATGTATATTGTATATCTATGATAATTCCTTTTTTACACATCTTTTTTTCTTTACATCCCATTAAAATTGTTTTCCAATTCAAGCGCTGGACATTATCGAAGTTAGGTTAAATACATTATTAATAAGCTATAATTTATAATATATGCATGCATTGACCTTTTGAGGTCGGTGTAAATCTTTTTATCATTTAGTTTGTTATTTATTTAATATTGTGTTATTTTATTATTACTCACTATTCCAAAATATCGTATAACACCGTTATATGTCACATATATGCAAGATATGCACGAGATACTGGTTCTGATAAACTTAGAAATTGTTAAATGCGATCGATATTACACTTCGATATAATTGTCTGAGGGAGAACATAATATCTTCACGAAACGAATAAACAATATTATAATATTATCTCATTTATATGCGTACGTGCTGCGTGATTACTTTCTCATCGAAATAATGACTAAATGATCATTTACATAATATTATGTTCCAAATAACGAACTTGTTTATATGGTTTATCATTCCGTAGTCCTTGAGCACTTCTGATCACACAARATATAATAATTTTATGTGGTCTATTTACAAATCCGTTTTAATGAGTAATATAGATAATATTATACGTGTTATAATCTAATTGAAAGAAAATATTCTGAAATGGTTAAAGCCCGCGTATTTTATAAATTTTTTTTTGCATTTAAAAAACTGAAAGATGTGAYATGATATTGCTATAGGTGTACATTGTCCATAATATGTATATCGTTGTGGTAGGGTTTCTATAAATTATTATGATCATTGATCATTTGATCATCTATATTGTGAGTGTTGGACGTGATCTAAATAAGTAAACAATACTTTTACAGTTTTACCTTTAAATTCACACCTATACTTTCCAAGATCTAAAATCCGTCATTGACAACCACATTTTAACTCAATGGCAGATCTTTTGGCCAACACTCCACACCAAGCTAAATAAAATAAAATTCACAGTCTCCCTATGGCCATTCTTCTCATTACCAAGACGCCAGGAAGTAATTTTWAACAGATTACGGATAGGTCACACATGGGTGACTCATTAACACCTTATGAACAGATCTGAACCTGACCAATGTCAAACTTGCGGTGAAACTTCCACGGTTGAACATCTAAWATGCCACTGCCGTAAATTCACCGACATCAGAGCTAAGCTCAATATAGAAGACAACCTGGAAGAAGCTCCACAGCCAATCAACATAGAAAATTTAATTAATTATTTAAAACTAACTAAACTAAACCAACTAATTTAATCTAGATATATTTCAATCTTTTTTTTTTATACTATTATTATTGTTATGTATATATTATTGTTAATACTTCATATACTTGTGTAAAAAAATATTAATGTTTAAAGCCAATAACCTTTGTTGTTGAGGCTCAATTAAAATTTAAAAAAAAAGTTTTACCTTTGTTAGTTAATTTTAATAATTAAAATATTATATATGCATATGTGTACGATGAGTGGTGTCGTCGTCGCAAGTCATCTGGCCAGCAGTCAAATTGGTTGGCGGGTGTAGCCTCGTGGATATCTATATAATGAGACTCTATACAGTATAGTTATATAAYAACAACCTCGATGATTTAATGTGAAATAAATACCTAATGGCTATTGTCTATTGACTAATGAAATAATAAATAATAAACATATGAATATTATTATATCGCTACGTCCTGCACTTAGGATAAATATATTACAAGATTCGAACATATATATTATTTTTCTATAAAGAAAAGTATGTAGGTAGGTAGTTTATTGTAAATTGAAAGGAAACATTTCACCCCTTCTCGTTTACTCAACCGACATTGAAAAGTTTTTTYAAACAAAATTAATTCTCATAGGTTCCTGTAGCGTATACTGTAAAAAAAAATATCTAAAAATATATACACTGTTCTTGTGATAGAAATTTTAATTTTAATTTGAGAAGAAGTTAGGTACAATTTTAGTTATTTTTTTTGTTATTTAAAAATATTATTCATGAGTATATACTTTTATAAAATCTATAAAGTTTATTTTTATATTTTCATATTTTATACACACAATATTTTTGTAAAATATTAATACAACTTACGGTGTTACTAATAATACTTTTCAATTTTTTATATAATTTTTTGAACTTTGACCACATGGTTTTCTCTGAAAAGTCTGAATAATCATTCTTTAACCAGCATTATGGTCCAGCATATTATAGTCAATAATTTTTTGGGTTTCAAAATGTTGAAAGTATATTTCTTTTCGTCAGTGAGTTTCTAGCTGCGCTCTCTTCCCTTTTTTTATTTATTAAACTAGTTGATTTTTGTATACTGCATAGTTTTTTTTTTTTTAACTTTTACCAGCTATCCGGAGATTGAAAGGCTCTAAGACCTCAAACTAAATGTAATTTCTCAAAGTGCTGCGTTATATAAGTTGTAAATTTGAATTAAAAAGTAAATAAAATGGCCATAATTTGATTGTTTCATCGTAATCAACGTGAAAAAAACTTGCACATATTTTTTTTAAATCATTTTTTTACGTATCTTCTAGTGTAAAAACTGGAAATCACCCTGCTGTTTCATCAAGTAACTTGTCAACAAGTCTTTGAGTATGTTGTTGATTATATTGACTTAATATTATATTGAATTTAATGATAAATCATTTCATACGAAAAACATAATTTACTAGGTGGGTCGTAGCTATATACTATATAATAGTACGAACAAGGACAAATGGACGCGGCCGTTTGGATGCAGCCATTTGGACGTGAGGTCATTTAGACGCGGCCGTTTGAGCGCGGGTACATTTGGACGCGAAAAAAAACATAAATTATAATATATTTATTTTATTCGTAATTTTATATTAGGGTATACATATAATACAATTAAAAATCTAAAACAGTTATTAAAAATACAAATTACAATACAATTAAAAATGTGATAATTACTAAGTTACTGTACAGAAATATTTTGGGCTATCCCTCTCAAAAATAACAAAAT